TAAGCCAATACAGAAATTAAGAGGTGGCAGGCCACATCTCTAATGTATTCAGGCTATTTCAATTTGAATCATGTTTAAAAACTATATACTGAACAAGAGGTTGCTGCTTTTTTCTCCATTTTTGCTCAGTTTTTTTAAAACAACCTTCAGTAAACAGTTAATACTGAGACATGGACATACTCTGTGGGTTATATGAGCTGCCTCCATAGAAACAGGCAATGGACAGTCTTTTGGCAATGTCTTTGAAGTCCTTGGAGACCTGGATAGCCAATTCTCTGGTAGGAGCCAAGACTAGCACCTATTAACAAATAAAAAATGAAGATTTACACAAATATTGAGAGAAACTGAAGAAGAAATGTGTAAGTGTCTGGTGAGTACCTTGGGAGGCCGGCCTCTCGTCATCTCCACTGAATCGTTCTGGAGCTTTTCGATCAACGGGATGGCAAAGGAGAAGGTCTTTCCTGTTCCGGTACGGGCTTGGGCAATTACATCCTCTCCATCATATACAGGGTTAAATGACTTCACTTGAATGTCAAACAAGTAGGTGACTCCCCGAGCTGAGAAGACGACAGAGAAGAGAGACAATAAGAAGATACAGAAGAGACAAAAAGCAAACAATGATGACATTGGGCTTCAAACGTATGAGTGACATCCAGCTGAAAGTAGATACATTTGTGTTTACGCAGTCTACAGTTGTGTATGAATGTCATCAAGATCATATATTATGTTTTTAACATTTATAAGCCATCACTAAGCCGATGAGTTCTCTACACAAATCATACAATCGCCAGGTAAATGCAGCCTTTTGCATGGCTGGCTTTTTCATGCTAGCCATGTAAAAGGTTGGCATGAATTCCTTTTTACCATTTTTAAAATGTAAAACACTAGACTATAAAAACAGAGATTGCTTACCTTTCAGTTTATCAATGGTGACTTTGGAGATTCTGAAGTTGGAGAAAGCTCCTTCTCTCTGCTCAGGTGTTTGTTCCTAAAAATGTAAAGAAATTCAGTCCCAATGTTTTCTTTTGTTCTTTGCAGCTAACTTTAAGCATTGTCAAGCTAGCATAGACAACAAACATGGTGTAACTGAAGTTATTTGCTGCAAAACTATATCTCAACAACCTTTTACATAGATGTTTAACTTCTTATATTTAAGAATTTTTCAAATCTTACATTTTCACTGTCACTGGCCAACTCATCGCTTGACTGGGATGGGGTCTGACTGGGAGTTTGAACTGGTGTGTTTGGAGTGGAATGTCCATTAGTTGCTGCCTCAGTGGTTGCTTTCTTTTGCTTCTGGTTCTTCTATTTGTCCAAAAAAAGAATTAGAAGTGTTACACGTGGACGACACACTGAAAAAATACTTGTATTATTCATGCAATATTTTAGACCATAAAGTACATTTATATTATGTTTTCTATGAGGAAATATACAAAAACGCATTCAACAGGTAGATATAGAAAAACACAACATTATAGTACTAACCTCTGATGTTTCCTTTTTCTTCTTTTTTATTTTTTTTGGTGACTCTGTATCCCCGCTGTCACCATTTAGGTCAGCGGCCTCATCGATGTGGCCGTTCGCTTGGGCCGCTGCCAGCTTGTCCTTTTTCTTTTTCTTCTTTGGTGCTGGAGGATCACAGTCTGGTTCCTCCACCTGCTCCTCAGACTGCTGCTGTTTCTTCTTCTTCAGCTTCTTACCTTCCTTTGTCTTGTTCTTCACCTTCAAGGAATGAAAATGATTTACACTAAACAAATACTGAGTCCAACATTGTCAAACTAATTTTAACAGTAACAAATACATTTTACATGAGGTATATAATTTGTAAACAATGTTACTCCACAATTTTTTTTTAAGAAATACTTGATCCATAATGCATGCACCGAATATTATTCACTAATAAATAACATGAAGCAGAAAGCATCTTTTTCAAGGCACAGATTTCACCATGCATTGGCCAATGTTGCAGCTTTTTTCAAGGCAGAATGTAAACAGAGGGACACACAGTGTAACAACTGAATGTTCAAAATGAGGAAGAAAAATGTATAAAATTAAATTATACTCCAGTATCTGACAATCAAAACTGCCCTCATCTAAATGTTGATAGATCTGTTGTAGCCATTAGGCTGTGTGCTTGTTTTTGTACATTCAGCAGTTTTTCCAACACGTCAATTGGTTCATTATTAAGCTACAGGATGCAATATATTATTTTAAGAAACACAGACAGTAAAACAAAACATTGTAAGCATTCTTTTTAACAAATAAATACATGATCTATGAAAAATCCAGGCACTCCCAAGCTAAATATTGTTTCAGTAAAATATCTTTAAATTCTTGGATTTAAACTCTGTGATGTTTGAAATTTCCTATGTTTTTTATCACACTAACAAAACTATAGTCAAATCCACAGTTTCACTCCACCAAGATTATGCCTGATAGAAACAGAATGATAAGTAAGTCTGCGTGTTGTTTGTAATCCTGTCACTCAGGGTAGCTTTTAATGCTACTATGTAGCATTAAAGGTGTGAAATGTCCCCTTTTATACCAGTATGCGTGTTGATAGAAGATACAGCTAGTAAAATTGAGGAAATAAACCAATTTTACAAGCTGAACTTGTAAGTGTAGTGTACAAGTCACTACATCCATTCGTTTTTTCCCTTAACATCAACTTGACTGTTGTCCCTTCTGTGTTAAAATATCAAAGTTGCCCACTTCTAGGATAACTATATTAAGAATAAGCTGTGTATGAAATGAGGAGAGTAAAAAACAATGCGTATCAAATAAATTAAAAAAAAAGTTACATGTTTGTAAACCATGTCTCATCGGCAAATCTAGATAAATTAAAAATCACGAGTGTATGTCAACGTGTATGTCAACGTGTAAAATGCAAATTACTGTCATATTCGTCCACATTGTTGATATGTACAATGATCCTGGATTCATGTGTAGGATACTTTAAGTGTCAATTTAATAACATATGATGACGTATATGACAGTCTCCCTACCGCATTCTCCTTCATCTATAAACGCTAATTCAGTGTTAATATTTCAACAGTAACTTGTTTCGAGATCCCCTTTGTTACAGATTTATTATTGTTGCCACCGTACGGCGTTAGCTACTAGCAAGCACGGCCACATGTTGTTAAACATGGGGGAGCCGTGGCCGGAACCTCAGCCTTTTAACTCCACGTATATCGTCAAAACTCACCTTGAAGGTTTCAGCTTCCGCGACGGTGTCCATATCTTTCTCGGTGGTTTCTTCTTCAGTTTCAAAGATGATTTTTGACGGCATTTCTCTTCCCAGTTGGAGACCCTCGACGTGGACACAGGCTAAACCTACTAGCACGCGGATGGAAAGGACCGGAAAAGGAGGAGCGAAGAAACGTCATCACAGGTGACGAGTGGAGCGTTCATGGAACGTTCCTCAATAGCGGCTGCCATGTTTACTGAACATGTAGCATAAGCGTTTAAATACAAATACTGATAAGTATGCTACTGCCAGTCAGCTACGTCTTTGAGTTAGCAAATTAGCGAATCCAACTGGTTCGCTCACTTGCAACTGGGAGACAGTGTGTTTCGGAACACTGGAAGTACCAACCTCGAACGCATCATCAGGTTGTTCACTCCCGAGTACACAAACATTCCGCCATCTTGGGGGAGGTGCATACTTCTGTAGATATAAGGTAATGTTTGTGTGAAATAAAGCACTTAAAGACTGAATATTGTGCATTTATAGTAAATAAATTTTAAAAAATGCACATGACATGAGTTTATTATTCTCTGCATTGTATTATTTGTTGTAATAATCTTTAAAACTGTAAAAACTAACAAGAGTTTTGTCTGCACATTTAAATGTGATCGTGAATTTTTTTTGACACCTATTAAAACAAACTGCATACAGCAGACTGATTTTTTTAAAACAACTTGAGTGGTATACTATTTTTGTCCACTAGGGGTTGGTGTAACTCTTAGGAACTCATCCAGACACTGGCTGGATGAGTTCAGTTGCCTGTGATGGAAGTAGACCAGCGGCAATGCATAACATTCATATTGTACAATATGAAAGTTTTGTGTGTCAACAAATAAAAATGCTAAAGGCGGCGCTACGGTCGATCTAGAGGTCTAGGTCAGAGTATGCAATAGTGTTCAGATACCAGATTAATATTTTTTGGTTGTTTTTATTGTAGATGCCCTATTGCCCTTTTTGAGTTTTTTAAATCTGTCAGAAGGTCTGCTTCTGCCCCTTAGCAATAATATTTAACTAAATATAATAATTTAGCAAAAATAAACTAGCTTCTTAAATTGTGCATAAATATTTCAACTTCGTTCTATTTACTCATTTTTGATAAAGTTGACTTTATATCTAAAGTGAAAGACCTACTAAGCATGGATTGCTTTATGTTGTTGTCGGGGCCGCGGACGGATTGTGAAGGTGCAGGACAAAAACAAACCACTCCAGGAGGAGATAATGTTGATCTTCCTTTAATGGAGATAACAACAGGAGCATAGCCGGGCTTTTTATGTGCTCTAACGCCGATGCAGACGAACTTTACACGTCCACACCAGAGTCAGCGAGCATCAACGCAACAACAAAGTCCCCCTGACAAAATCCTCCCCCTGGAACACACAACCACTGCATGCAGAGTTCCGCTAACGAAATAAACACACAGTAACGCACTTCCTCAGATCAGCCTAGAAAGTACGGGAAATAATACTAGCATAAGAGGAAACACACAAGCACTACAATATGTTATTGTCTTTACTTCTTCTTTATAAATCAGAATGTGGTCAGCAAATAAAATGAAAAATGGTGCACCTAAAAAAATGCCACCACAATATTTAGTTTTTGTTGTTGTTTTCTATAACTCTGAAAGGTACTGTTAATTCTATTTTCTAAAAGAAATTAACAATAAAGTGCTTTCCTGAGGTGGGGAACGGGAGCGGTAATGGCGCGGCGGAACCTTTGGGGGGCGTTGTTTCCAGGTTGGTTTTGGGATGGACTTCCGGTTTGCACCAAACGCAATCGGAATGTTAAAGGCAGCGCAGCGGTTACAATTGCTGACTCCTGTCTTTTTGTCCTCTAGGTCAGTATACGGTAACAAAAAAAAAACACCAAAATTACTTTGTAAGATGCTTACATATTAACTGACCAAAAAATATCATAGAGTCACGGTTTCTGTGCACCGTTTTGTCAGTTTTATCAGACGAGGCTAACGTTGGTAATATGCCACCTCTCTCTAAGGACCGTTATATTTTAACGTCTCCATGTTCAAGAGTTTTGTTTTACTTTTTTGTCAATGATATTCAGTTAAAGTGCAGTGAAGCTTTGTGGCAGTTAATTGTGGTTCATTGTTGCCTGTGATGGAAGTATACCAGCGGCAATGCAAAACATTCATATTGTACAATATGAAAGTTTTGTGTGTCACCAAATAAAAATGCTAAAGGTGTTTAGCATTTTTATTCATCCTAGAGGTCTAGGTCAGAGTATGCAATAGTGTTCAAATACCAGATTAATTTTTTTTTTGGTAATGTTGTAATGTTTATTGTAAAACATTACAAACTTTGCATCATTTATCTTTCACTTCAAAAATAGGCATTACTTTGTGTTAGCTTATCACTTGAAGTGGCAACAAAATACATTCAATTTTGAGGTTGGAGAATGAAAAAATGTGAAAACGCCAACATTCTGTAAATATTTGCAAAGCCTTAGACGTGGCACTTCAGCCCTAACTATTTAAACAAAACAGTTACCAATTGAGCGACGAGGAAACAATAGTAAAATGCATGGATTCCTCATCGTCAATTACATTTAACTCCCACTGTGAAGTATCACTCATTTTCATAAAAGCAAAAACGTTCATATATTATCTTTTTGTCTTGTCATCCTATTGGTTACAGGACTCTTATGTTTTGTTTCTGATTAAATACAATCTTCTTGCTTTTTTGCATTAGGTAATTTAGTCAACCGCGAAAAGGGGAAGTGAAAATGTATCTTTCCTTTGTCATTTCAGTGCAACTTCCTGATGATGACGACGAGAACATCCTCCCTCTTGCCTTGTGTTTTTGTCCCGCCCCATACAAACTGCCATTAACGCCCCAATTGCCTACCTCCCACCCCGTGTCGAATAGGAAGTTCCACCAAGCGCCTAAGAACCTGTGCGCTTGGTCTCTCTTCAGTTTGTGCTCGACGCTCTCTTATTCACGTCCGGTGATTCTCTTCATAACGGATTGAAAATGCAGCGGAACATCACCAAGTCCCACATTTTGATCGTGGTAATATTTTTTAGCCTCCTGGTGTAAGTGTTTGACATTTCCTTGATTATCTTTGATGCAGTGACGCAATAAAAGTACAACAACAAAAAAAAGGGGGGCGGGAGGGAAGACATGAAGGCTTTGAGGAAATCGAAAATTGCGTGTTTGACATAAGAGCGTCCTGTTTTTCACTGTTCAGAATATCACGCAAAAAACGCAAAAATTTGCTGTACATATCCGTTTAATCTGGGTGTTAAAGTATAAGGATCTTTATTATCTGTGTGATCGGCGGTGCGTCGCGTCATGCGCCCTCATCACTATCAACTCTCGAGAACTGCGGAATCGTCTCTGAAGAACTTTCGGATCTAGTCACAGCGAATCATTCATCACTCAAACTTGATTTGTATTTATTTTGAATTTTCAGGCGTATATCCAACCCTTTGCTCTTTTTATTTCGGGAATAACGCATGAGGAAAATATATTGCATCCCATTATATCCGGGGTTAACCGAGAACTGCTCCGTTTCAAATTACGTGGCTCAAAGGGTTTTAATTATTCTATTTATTTATTTTTACTTTTTAACGATGAATTTAGTGTGAAGTTTTATCATGTTGTAACATTGTTAATATATTGTAAGCACCACCAAGAACGGAAGCTCAACACCAGAATTTCTGGAGCTAAAACAAACAAACAAAAAAACTGCAAAAAATTATAATCACGTGCAATGAGAAAAGAAAAAGTAGAAAATGGTGTTGCTGTGAGGCTAAAGGGCTGAGTTAAGTTTTCTCCCTGTAAGTTTATGGCTTCAAAATATAAATATTTAAACTGGTTCTTCTGGGGCTGAAGACACCATTGTTTTATGTGTTGTACTTTATTGACAAACCCCACACCTTTACCTTTGTCTATAAACAAAGGTAAAGGTGTGGGGTGCTGCCTGCTTTTTCTCCCTTTTTTTGTATCTTGTAAAACTTTCACATAAGTAACTTATATCCATGAGTTACTTGTTTGCAATGCAACAAAAGTGAAACTGTGTTCCCAGTGAAATAATGCTAGTTTAAATGCGTTTTCTTAGGCTGTTTTGGTTTCCTCAGTCTAACTGTTACCTGTTTTATTTAAACAGTCACAGTTCATTTGTCATAATTGAGATTTTACAATAGTATTCAGACCCTTAACTTTTTCACATTGTATTTTGCTGGCATTCCTGAACCAACATAAACTAGTACATTACAAGTGAAGTGATGTTTTTTTTTTTTCCTACTGATATAGTTCTGAAGAGTGTGGTGCGCGTTTGTGGTCAGGCCCCACTTACTACGATACTCTTAAATAAAATACAATCCAACTAATCACTTAATGAACTGAATTCACCTGTGTGAAGCTCGAGCTCAGTAAAACACAGCTGTTCAATAAACTCCTTAGAGGTGTGATAGAAAACCTATTTATGCGTGAATAAACAGCGACATGAAGATTAAGGAACAATTTGAATGCATAAAGAAAGCTATAATTCAACTGGAAACTTGGATGATTCAAATTATCAGGAGCCCCACTGGAATCAGATACAAAGCAACACTTCCTCTTTGAACGCTATAATTTGTAAAAAATAAAATTAAAATATATATATAAATGCTAAATTTGGCATTTACATGTTTGTCTAAGGAAGCAAACATAAATAACCACTGCCTTTTGATTTTTTTTTGGACTATGCCATTTTGAAAGAGCAGGGATGAGAAATGACCTTTGGTATCAAATTCTCTTTTAGGAAAAGCAGATCGAACGGGTTTTTACTAGCAAAGTAATGGACACGTAATCTAGCCACCATCCATTTCTTTACAGCAGAAAGAGACGTTTTATTACTTTTTGTTCGTTTGTTTTCAAGGTCAAGCAGGCCATTTTTTAAAAGTTGGTTGACACTGATAGACTCCTATCCAAAAGGAGTGAATGCTAAAATTAAAACAAAAGAATGGAGGAAAACTTGATAGGAGTTAAAGTGGCCTACATTTTGCTACTAAAATGTTGTTAAAATTATTACAAAATAAGGAGCAGAAGGAACACCTGATGTTTCTGTCATTTGCTATCTGTTCTCATTCATTTTGAACACTGACATTTCCATAAGCAAGGATTCAACTAATGGATCACGTGTCCATCAGTTGAATTCCATTTTAATAACTTCTTATATGTAATGCTAATGTAATGCTCCTTTTGGTAGCGAGTTTTATTTTTTACATTAGCCCAATCTAAAACCTCTCTGTTAAGAGTCTTGTTTTCCACCTTTTGTGGACAAGGTTTAGAGATGTTAAATTATTTCTTCCCTTCAGGTAAACATTCCTGTGAAAGATAAGTCCAGGCAATTACCAAAGCCTCTGGATCATCATTAAATGGTTTATTAGGGATCGTTAAACTATTTCATGGTTTAAACCAGGTTTGTACAATATCAGTTCAAGGAAATTCAACTGTGTTCATATTTTGTTAGCAGAGATGGCTTTTGATAATGTGGATATTACGTCATAAACCAGCAAAACAGTGTTAAATCTTTTACATTGACAAACTTATTTCTATGTTTGCACTCCTTCCTTTGGCAAATATTCAGTACTTCACAACTTTGACGAAGAAAGATTTTTACACAGACCACCCTGTGTAGTTCACAGGGAAAAAATGGATTTTGGAATGCTATATAAGCTTGTGTTAAAATTATTTAAAGATTATTAGTTGAAAAAAAACTAATAATAGTTTTTATTAGTTATATAGTTGAGCTATATAAGCTTGTGTTAAAATTATTTAAAGATTATTAGTTGAAAAAAAGCTTTATTACAATAAACATACTACTTTTGTATGTGTGTTCCTGCTGCACAATGGTTTGAGCAGCTTGTAGCCTCAGTCTGAAAACATGGGATTTTTTCTACAGTATTCATGTGAATTTTTGGCATGAAAATATGGGAGAGGTAAAAGACAAGTTTGCACCTCTCTTTTAAAAGTGAAGCAAGTTGTTCCTCTTGCATCATTGTTCAGGAGCCTGTGGGTGTAACTACCAGATGACTGTTGTTAGTGTTGCTGTTAGAGACAGATTATCTCCAAATATTTTAAATACCACTTCCACTGAGAATCTTCTGTTCATATCAATGGTGGTCAGCACTTTCCAAACATTTACAGCAATTGACTTAATTCTTCCATATCTTAATTGGGAAAGTTGAGCCGCCCACGCTTTTGTATCGATATAATCATCTTCTGACTATGTATCAATCTTTCACCGGTTCACATCCTCTGTTTTGTACCTTTGCTTTGCCATCCTAAGACTACTGATAACAAAAATTACTCAGTCTTACATGTAATTTAATTATGTCATTACCTGAACACGATTGCCAATTAGTTTAGCAATCGTTTAGCTCTTACGACCCAAGTTTAGCTTTTAGGACTCTTAAAATATGTGAGATGATGCAAATGATACCAAAATAACTCAAGATTAACTTCTCCTGATAGACATTATTTACTGGAGACGCAAAGTCTTATATTTTAAAGCGGACAATAAGTAGGAAGTTAAAAAATTGTTTCTAATCATCAGCTGGTCAAACCAGGTATGAATTGATGCTCAGCCAGTGGAAAATATCTCACTTTATCAGCCGAGAACAACATGCTGGGACATGAAGTTGGGAAAGAATCCTGTCTTATAGAGAGAGCAAGCTGATTGTTTGTGGAGGATGTTTCTCACCATTGTGATAAGTGCTTCTTTGGCAGTGAGCCACATGTTCAGTGTTCACAGATCATCCTTGCTTATGGAAATGTCAGTGTTCAAAATGAATGAGAACAGATTGCAAATGACACAAACATCAAGTGTTCCTTTTGCTCCTTTTTTGTAATAGTTTTTACTACATTAAAGTAGCAAAATGTAGACTCGATGTAAACTCATCAAGTTTTCCTCCATCCTTTTGTTTTAATTTTAGCATTCACTCCTTTTGGATAAGAGTCCATCAGTATCAACTGACTTTTAAAAAATGGGCCTACTTGACCTTGAAAACAAAAAATAAAAAATAAAATGTCTTTCTACTGTAAAGAAAAGAGACCCTGGATCATTATCCAGTGGAAATGCTGTTCTTTTGTTTACACGGTATACTACAAGTTTTTAAAATGACATGGGTGTTTTCTCTACCACCAGAGAGTTCAAGTTGTTGTTCCAAGTTGCACATAAAACTCATTGTAAGAAATTTCTGAATCTCCTGTAGCTACTTGCCTGTTTGCAGCCTGTTCTACCGGATTAATTTTAGTCATTTGTGTGGAAGGTTGTGGAACTTTGTCTCCTCATTCATTCATTCAGAAAGGTAGTGTTTTTTCTTATAGCACTTCTGAAAACAATGCCTGACCCTAAGTTTAAATACCTCTGCTCAACACTTGTTGAACAAGAACGGAAAAAAGGAGAACTGTATATGATAGCTTCTTCTGTAATACTAATACAGTTTCCACTGTACGTATTAGTGTACATAAAGGTAGATTTTGAGGTTTAACGATTAAAATAAGCAGGTATAAATGTCCATTGTGATGCAAATTAGGAAAAGTCAGAAAAAATACAGAGATAAATAAACTTTATAGCAGTTTCTCCACATTCAGCGTCTCGTCCAAAATTAGGAATGGAAGCTCAAAACCATGTAGGAGAATTGTCCATTTAGTGATTAAGAATTGTGATAACCACTTCACAAAACAGATTTACTGCAGTAATTAAATTAGTATTTTCCAACTGGACATTGTTTTGATCTCGAGCTTTCCCAGTCTACAAATACAGTTTTGGTGAAAATGTTGGAGCTTGGATGCATTTATTGGTTTGTTGTTATCTATATTCAAGGGTAGAAAAAAAAAGCTATTGAAAGAATACCATTTTAAGTAATGCAAAAATAACATAAAAAAACAGTTACTTGGATTAGACAGCTGCTGTACTTCTAAGGTCCAAGCAACAAAAACAGCCTCACTGCTACATTATCAAGACAATGAGAATAAAATATAAACATGTAGACAGTTTAAAGAAGCAGGCAATCTAAAACACAGTGAGTTAAAGTTGAGTTGTCACATGCTGCCAAACTAGCTTTTTCAGTTATTGTTTAATCTAGCAGACATTAGTGAAACGGCTGCCTTCAAAGTACTGCAGAGGATTTTTGTCACACAGAAAATGCTATAAAAACAAATGTTTAACCAGAGCATTTATTTTTGCTAATCTATTTCGAGGCAGGTTCTAAACATTGGTCTGTCATTTACCACCACACACAGCTAAATGGCAGTTTGAGAAAATATTTCAAGATATTAACCAGATTGTTGATAAAGACTGTTCTTTAGGCTTGACGATTAGCTTCCTTAAAATGCTATATAATATAGAGCAGGGATGGGCACTCCAGACCTCAAGGGCCGGTCTCTTGCAATTTTTAGATGTATCTCTACTTCAACACACCTGAGTCAAATAATGAGGTCATTAACAGGACTCTGGAGAACTTGACTGCATTTAGGAAGTGATTCAGCTATTGGATTCAGGTGTGTTGGACCAGGGAGACAACCAAGAGTTGCAGGACACCGATCCTCGAAGACCAGGAGTGCCCACCCCTGATATAGATGCTAATAATGAGTAGTCTCTATAAAAGGCTAATCATTAATCCAGTGGGATTAAATTTTGGGCAGTCTGGGAATCGGAAGAGTTTTTGTAGAAATGTTTCAAGCGTGGAGGGAATGGATAGTGGGGTAATAGAGAGCATGGCTGAGCTCTTGTTCTTTCTTCTGGATATTCGAGTGGCATTGTGGGGATTTTAAGATAAGAACCGCATTCCTGTGGAAAAGCAAACAGTTGTTTGCTTGTTTGGGATGAACAAATTATATGCCAGATATACATTCACTACATTGGTTTGTTTACAGGTCGAAAATAGAAGGTGGAATGGACAAAATAGCAATGAGTAGGAGTGGTTAATAAAACTGTAAAATGATCTGGATGTAAATGGCTAAATATTCACAAAGTGAGTTAATCATTAATGTCTATAAAGATCAAAATATAAAACACTTATTAAAGTGATAAGTTGTGGTTAAGATTTTACCACTTGACCACAGTAAGTTTCCGTAGATTGGGTGCCTGAAGCTTAGAGAATGGACTTTAGACTGTTGCTAGTTTATAAATTACCGAATGGCTTAACACCAAGATACGTTAAGGATCTGTTGTTGTATCAACTTCTCAAATCTCACTTCTCTTTGCTTTATTTTGACACGTTTTTTGTGTTATGTTTTATTATGTAAAGCACTTTTAACCTTATTACTGAAATGTGCTATAAAAATAACTTAACGTAATATAAATGTGATAACTTTCCTTGTAGTCACACTCTTGTTCTAATAATGAGTGAGAGCCAGCTGTCCAAACTCCCTGTGAGTTTTAAGAGTTCACATCCATAGAAATGTAAATATAAAAAAATACCTCATTATAGGAGAACCAAAATTCAGGCATAAATTCATTGAGTTTCTAAAAACTACTTGACTGGATTTTAAAAAATAAACTTAAGAAAGTGTGTTCTGACAATCCTTTATTACTATCTATTTTGTATGGGTATATGGATGTGTAGCCCTTCTGTGTCTGTCTCAGATCCAACATGTCGACTTCACAACAGAAACATTTAGTGTATTTATTCTAACTAAAGAGGAAATCAAGTTGGTGGTTAACATCAGTCCAGCACCTTCTGCCTCTATATGTCAAATAAAATACAATAAATAACTCTAAACAAACTGCAGAGCAATATCTCCCAATGAGCAGTTAGCAGCAGTTAACATTTATAAAATTAAACATAGCTAAAACGGACAACATTAATCATGAAAACAGTTAAAAACATATACAAAATTACAAATTACTCTTGAAACACTGTATATTATTTTTCCTTTAAATACATGTTAAAATATTAATATTTGTGATGAAAACAGAGCTGATCCCAATATATACCACAGGTACAAACAGAGAAAAGGGGGAGGAGCCATCAATTACCGGTTGCTATGGTGACCGCCAATCACCAAGAGACAGAACTTAAAGCGCCAATAAATGTCTGGAGAAACAGCTTGTTGACGAAACTACATAATATGATCTTGGTTTTGTTATGTCTTCACAGACTTATATACGCCTACTTCAGAGAAAGCTTCTCACCTATGAAGTGAGTACACTTTTTAAAAATATAATAAAACACTGTTAGAGATTTCCACTGAGTCTGTCAATGCCTGACTGTTCAACAAATTTCATGACCATTTTGTATCTTTGATCCATTTCATTTTGTCAAGTGATCTGTAAATGTGCTTTTGGTTTTCCTTTAAAGCTTTTGCAAGCCGTGTGTTTTCCCTGAGAAGGACATATTTGAACTGGAAAATAAGCTTGATGAGATAAATAACAAGGACATGAGCGGGCAGTGCCTGATAGGCGGCAAGAGGATGGACAGAATGGCAATGGATCTAGGGTAAGAAGCCATTTTTTGTTCTACATTGTTGTTCAACTCTATTGTGGTTTATTGTGGCTAAAGAAAACTGTGTTAGAGCTTTAAAATATATATATATATATATATATATATATATATATATATATATATATATATATATATATATATATATATATATATATATATAGTCTCAGGTATGAAAAACTGGACAGCACCAGGGCCTGACATGATCCATGCCTACTGGCTAAAGAAACTCACTGCTCTCCATGAGCGACTGGCAGGCCAAATGAACCAGCTGCTGCAAAGTGGGACTCACCCTGAATGGTTAACTGAAGGGCGAACAATCCTAATCCAGAAGGATCCACCAAAGGGTCCAGTCCCACCCAACTACCGACCAATAACCTGCCTCTCCACAACCTGGAAGCTCATGTCAGGCATCATAGCGGCCAAGATAAGCAAACACATGGATAAACACATGAGCATGGCACAGAAAGGTATCGGTGTAAACAGCAGAGGAGCCAAACACCAACTCCTCGTAGACCGCACAGTTGCCAGAGACTGCAAAACCCGACACACCAACCTGTGCATGGCTTGGATTGATTACAAGAAAGCCTATGACTCAATGCCGCATACTTGGATCATTGAATGCCTAGAGATGTATAACATCAACAGGATTCTGAGAGCCTTCATTGCAAACTCGATGAGGCTGTGGAAAACCACCCTTGAAGCCAACTGCAAACCACTTGCACAAGTGTCCATCAAATGTGGCATATACCAAGGAGATGCTCTGTCCCCGCTACTGTTCTGCATAGGCCTGAACCCCCTCAGCCAAATTATCAACAAGACTGGCTACGGATACCTACTCAAAAATGGGGCCAACATCAGTCACCTCCTCTACATGGATGACATCAAGCTGTACGCCAAGAGTGAGCGAGACATCGACTCACTGATCCACACCACCAGGATCTACAGCACTGACATTGGGATGTCATTCGGACTAGAGAAGTGTGGTCGGCTGATCACAAAGAGGGGGAAGGTGATCCGCACAGAAGGAGTCTCACTCCCACAAGGAACAATAGCAGACATAGAGGACAGTTACAAGTACCTAGGTATACCACAAGCAAATGGCAACCTCGATGAGGCCACAAGGAAAGGAGCCACAGCTAAATACCTCCAACGAATAAGGCAAGTCCTGAGAAGCCAGCTCAATGGCAAGAACAAAATCCGTGCGATAAACAGCTATGCCCTGCCAGTAATCAGATACCCTGCTGGAATAATTAGCCAAAGGAGGAGATAAAAGCCACAGATATTAAGACTAGAAAGCTACTAACCATGCATGGAGGGTTCCATCCCAAATCCAGCACCCTGAGACTGAAGACAAACCGCAAGAAAGGAGGCAGAGGACTAGTGAGTGTGAGAACCACTGTCCAGGACGAAACAACTAAGATCCATAAATACATCAGGGACAAAGCCTCAACAGACAATGTGCTCAGTGAATGTCTCAGACAACAGGAAACGGAGGTTGAGGTGCCAGAGATACCATCATGGGAGGACAAGCCCCTACATGGGATGTACCACCAGCAAATAACCCAAGTGGCTGATATCAGTAAATCCTACCAATGGCTGGAAAAAGCTGGACTCAAGGTCAGCACAGAGGCCCTCATCCTGGCCGCCCAGGAACAGGCCCTAAACACCAGAGCAATAGAGGCCCAGATCTACCACACCAGACAAGACCCAAGGTGTAGGTTGTGCAAGGAGGCCCCTGAGACAGTCCAGCACATAACAGCAGGGTGCAAGGTACTGGCAGGGAAAGCGTACATGGAACGACATAATCAAGTGGCAGGCATAGTGTACAGAAACATCTGTGCAGAATATGGACTGGAAACCCCGAGATCAAAGTGGGAAACACCCCAAAGGTGGTGGAGAACGCCAGAGCTAAGATCCTGTGGGACTTCCAGATCCAGACAGACAGAATGGTAATGGCGAACCAACCAGACATTGTCGTAGTGGATAAACAACAGAGGAAAGCCGTTGTGGTAGATGTAGCAATACCAAGTGATTGCAACATCAGGAAAAAGGAGCACGAGAAACTGGAGAAATACCAGGGCCTCAGGGAAGAACTGGAGAGGGCCTGGAAGGTGAAGACCACAGTGGTGCCTGTGGTCATCGAGGCCCTCGGGGCAGTAACCCCCAAACTGGAGCAGTGGCTACAACAGATCCCAGGAACAACATCAGACATCTCAGTCCAGAAATGTGCAGTCCTTGGCACAGCCAAGATATTGCGCAGAACCCTCAAGCTCCCAGGCCTCTGGTAGAGGACCCGAGCTCAGAGGATAAGAACCACCCGCGGTGGGTGAGAAGGGAATTTTTATATATATATATATATATATATATATATATATATATATATATATATATATATATATATATATACATATATATATATATATATATATATATATATATAATATATATATATATATATATATATACATATACATATATATATATATATATATATATATATATATATATATATATATATATATATATATATATATATATACACACATTCTTATATACTCATTCTTGTATAGTAAAGGAGCATTTTAAATAAGTTGAAAATAAGTAAAATAAAAAAAAGATGCCTTGTTAATCATAAGCTTAAAATTAATCTTTGGCATAAATAATTATTTTCTAAAGAGTCATTGTTACAGAGAGATGTTTTCTCTCTGTAACATTGAATAATCATTTGTCCATATTTGCATCCAGACCAAATGTAATTTTTTGTTCTGTTTTTCTGGGGATTTTTCTTTCTCTTTTTTTTTTTTTTTTTTTTTGAGGGATGGAGAAGTTTGAAGATTTATAAAGGAAATTGCTAATTAGAGCAGGGAAAAACAACCGTACTTTTCTCATCTACTATACATATAAACTCTTGGACTGGACCTCAGCTTATGTTAGGGATTTTGATTTCATTGTCAGATATTTACAAATATTGCTGCTATTAAATCTGTTTTTAAAATGATTTCAGTAACATTTTTAATCAAATGCATATAATTAAGAATTATGCTGTATAAAAACAAAGCACACATGGACAAAACAAATCATGTGAAGTTCAAAAACTGAATGGTGACATTGTTATTATTCCAAGTTACTAAAACAAAACAACTAATATTGATTTTAATGTGATACAAAATAGAATCTGGAAGACACAAAATGTAAAAATAATTTTCATTTAGTGCATATAACCAAGACTGAGAGCTAAATTAGAATTTTTGTTGGTATTCGGTTTTATTGTGTGGACTGGAACAATTCCTCTTAGTTGAATGCCTCCTTCCTTTGCTATCTCTAGTTGTGTTATTTTCATTTTTTCAGCTTCAAACATTAGGTTTTGTCCCCTTCAGCTTCTCAAATAGAAAGAAGTGCAACCTTTGTGATGTGGCAAGGAATTTTATCAAGTTTCTGATACAACAATTCCAGAAAAACCTGGGATCCTGGAGGAAGGGGAAATACTCCCAATCTGAAGTGTTCTAGTTGAGTTGGCCTAAATTAACGTGTAAGATGTCAAAAAACTTTACAAAGGAAGGATGTAAGACCTTTGAACCAGCAGAACAATTATAAACAACCTATAAGCCACGTTTCAGTGACTTAACCCTCTATGAAATGAATGTTGGCTGAATCCGTTTTCCAACGAAATGTATTATGCTTTGATTTTATAATAAACGTTTGTTTAACTACAATCAAAAAAATCAAAAATACATTTTCTTTACATGCCCACACAATTTTCTAACCACTTCTGAAGTCTAATTATGACTTAGAGGTGCACTGGCTGAAGAAACATAATAACAAATAAATGTAACATTATATTTCTCCACTGTGCTGAATAAAAAACCCTATAGAAATATAAAAACACCAGGCATCTCATTTAGGACAGTTTCAGGGAATATGCCATTTTCAGACATCTGACATTAAATTACTAATAATTGATTAAATAATAAAGATTTATTCTCTAAGTTCATCTTTTATTATTTATAAAATGTCCTTCATGTACAACGTCTGTCCTTCAAAATAAAATGCTGAAGCTGGTTTCTCTTTTTCTTCTCCAGACTAAAATATGCTCAGCCAAGCACGCTGAATGGGTAAGCCATCACAACATACTTGATTCTACTGTGCAACTTTGTTCTTGTTTTATTGTGAAGTTTTAGATTTTGGGTTTTAGTTTGTTTGTTTGTTTGTTTTGCAACTTAGATCATTTTTCTGGCTCAGTATGTAAAACCTTGCAGTTGAAAGAGGGATTTGTTTGTTTTTATTATGCATTTTTATTGCTCTAATGTTCCTTATTAAGTAAGTAAATGAACAAATATAGCATTTAGGTTGTTTTTGAATTTGATAAAAGCAAGAAGAGTAAGTTGATCAAAGGTTGAGTGATGAGTCCATATTAAATGATTATCCTCATTTTTGTCAGTAAAGGTCAGTAAATTGAAATGTTTCTTGAAATCAACACTATTTTGTAATATTAAATATATTCCAGACAATTTATTACACAGTGGAAATAAAAAATGTACATACCATGATTCAAATTTGAGCTTTTTTGAGGTGGTAAAACATAAAGCTTTTAAACATTGTTTCAAAACATTTCTACCTTTAATGATGGCATTTGTACAATTAAACTTATAAAACACAAAAACAGTAGAGATTCTAAGTGATAATTTCTTTTTTACTACTTTTACTACTTTCTTAAATACTGCAGGATACATGTTGCATTAAAGGTGAAAGGAGTTGAGAAATGACTTAACTTGGTCTCTATATGTACTGTAGATATAAAGAAATCCACATTTCTTTCAGGAAATAAATGTGGATTATGCAGTGTATGTATACATAACTAAAATGCATTGGTGTTTTTTTCTAATACCTGTTGAGAAGTTTTAGGTTAAAAAAAAGTAAAAAGGATAATAACCCACATGTTTTAGAATTATAATTAGCAGGCCAACTATGTGATGCTACTTATTGAAGCTTATTAGCAGTAAACTCTTCACCAGTCCTTAGAAACCAAAAAAGGAAGATTAGTTTCCTGCATTCTAAGCCTTTTAGATCACAGTGACCCAGAATTTGCTCCAATGTGAAATTACCCTATGATCATTTTTGTTTATAAATGCATTTTCCTTTCTTCCCAAGACGGAAAGACATAAATGCCGTGACAAACTGGAATGCTCCTCTCGTCTGGGAAGGAACCTTTGATCCTGTGGTTATGGATGCAATCTATAAGAAAATGAACCCAAGAATAGCTGTGGTGGTTTTTGCTGTTGGCAAGTATGTAAACAGAATATGTTGCGGGAAAAGACGCTTTACTAAGGTTGCTGTTTCTTTTCTGTATTGCTTGTTTTCTTCTCACTAATTGAAAACCTTTGTTATTTGCTTTCACCAACCAGGTACACTCGTTTTCTACAGAAATTTATTGAGACTGGTGAAAAGTATTTCCTTGTTGGCTTCAATGTCACTTACTACGTTCACACGGACAGAGAAAATGAAGTCCCCAAGGTGAGTTGCTTGTGTTTTTGTTCTTTGCCCTGCAACACTATGATTGTGAAAAGCACTTTAATGAGTGCAAAACAAAAATCAATTAGTCAAACAACGTTTACTGACTACAGAGAATATAATCAATTTGTTTTGCTCCACTTTTAAAAGTTGAATTCTACTTTGAGAAAATGGTAGTTTAATTTTTTTTTAAAACATAAAACTTTTTTTATAATTATTTATGCTCTCTTTGTCTAATATTAGAGATTCTTTGATAATCTGAAACATAAAATTGCAACAAAGTAAACATTTTAAAATTGAGAAGTGGTTAATATGTTTTCATCTCAAAACACTTTGTGCAGACTTGACTCTCATTAGATTATTGTTTGTAAAAATGACATTGCTAAAAAAATATGAGACAACAGTTAAGAAAAATAAAGTTATCTAAAACATTCTAATTATTTGCTAGATTGTGTTGGTCCATGTTTTGGATTAGAAAGTTCAAGAGTCATAAAAACCTTTGCAGCTTCCTGTGTAGTTTGCTGATAATAACCTGATATATCCCTGCATGAGAACACCAGCAAAAATTCCAGGAAAGAAATGTCCATTTCTGAAATTTGAAACTTTCCTTCTAACAGAAAAATGTCCTCCTTGAACTCCGACAAAGAAATTTTTTTTTCTAAAAAGAAATATTATTCTAGTTAGCTTTTATTTTTGCCTTGCCCTTATAAAAGGCATAAGTCTGGCATTTCTCAATATTTTTTCATGTAAGTCAGAGTGTTCCGATCTGTATTTTACCATTTGCCTGTTAAATTTTTACAACTGTTTCCTTAAAAACAAATAAAACCCACATAGCTGGGCTCTGTCTTAAGGATTTGAGGACTATTGTATTATCTCAATACAGGAAAACTGCTTGAAGTCATGTAAGTGCACATGCCATTTATCATGTTGGCATGGAAAATTCTAGACCATAAAAAAAATCCTATTAATTATGAGTCTTTTTGTTTTTCAGCAAAAAAAATTTGTGTTGCAACAAAAGTAAGATGCTGTACTTAAAGTTTGAACACAGAAAATGAACGTGTTGAGACTCTTTTGATAAAAATGCAAGATAATTTCCATGAAGGTATTTGATACAAAGGATTCACAAAAGTATACACAACTGTGATTTCTTGTTACAATTGCTCCTTTCTGAGAACTGAAACAAAGATATATCTGGTGGCATGGTTTACAGTAATAGAAAGCTCCTTAATTTTATTCATAGAGCAAGTTAGAAGTGTATATCTCAATGCAAGCAATTTAAATTTGGTAGCCATACTAAGTAGAAAAAGCACCTTATTGCAAGTTAATCAGTACAATAAAAAAGGTCTGAAATGCTTCCATGATTTTTTTAACCATACAATCAAAGCAAATTTGTAAATTGTATTTCTTGATACAATTTACAAAACTGGCTAAAACTCTTTATCTTTAATTTGAAAAGCAATTTTTTTTATTGCACCGAAAGCCATATCTTAAAAAGACTCGCCTGAACCCTGCAAGCAGAGTGACGTAGTTGTGAGTACTTATTGAAGTAACTCTGCTAACATTTCAGTAGCACAATGCTACTAAATGTTAAAAGGATTTCCAAATGCTAACCTCCTTAGACTTTGGCAAGAGTTTATTTGTGCAGTAGCTTTTATTTTATTAAAACAAGAGCACTCGCTATTTAGCAGACTGTTTCCTCAGGCAAAACTGCGTTGCAGGAGCATTTCAGTGAAACAAAATGTCAGATGTTACAGTTGTAGTACATGCTGTGGACACATCCGTTCAGCTCTTTGTTCTGACTCGAGCCTTGGACTGTCTTCTCATAAAAACTGTCCAAGGCTGTGAAGGACAGGGGCTTCTCCTCCAGCAGTCCTTGCAGTCGTGTGCGCCAGTTCTCCACAGGGTGTGAAATGGGCTTTGAATTTAAAAACTCTCAAAGCTGCATCTGGTCTTGTGGCTTAATGACCACTTCAAGTGAAAACACTTTTTGAACAGCTAAATTCCTTCGTAATGAGGTTTTATGGTTTACTCTTTTTGAGGTTTTCAACAGGACAACAACTGGGTATATGAAATTTTCTGAGAGATTTTTTATGGGCCTGGGGGAATCAGCAATAATAAGAAAAATAAGAAATGAATTCTTGTAATGATATATGCTTCATAAGTGTAGAAAACAAATCAATCAACAAGAGAAGCAGGCAGTGTGTAGACGGATCCATAAGCTTACAAAATAAACAATTTACAGACAGTTAACTCAGATTAATAAATAATGACACCAATAAGAAGTGACACAGGTGAGTGGATAAAAATAGTCAGAGAACTGAAAGTAAGTTGCAGGTTGACCAGAGCCTGCAATTTTGAACAGGAAGTAAAGTCACAAGGGGAACTCCCTCACTCGAGACTTAGTAATGATGAAACATACTGAGCACAAGCTAAAAACACAAAAAAAAAAACCAAAAGTTGACTTATAAACCAGACTATTTATAGATACAATACTCACATTAACATTGAGTTTGTTGATTTAAAAATTGCAAATTTGTGGTTGAACGTGGTACGAAATGAAAAACGTGGGAGGCAGGCCCAGATCTTTTCTTGTCAAACTGAGTTGCAGAAATTGAGACTTCAATAAAAAATTTTAAAAAATCATAATAAAAACCGTCTGCCAAGTCTAAGTAGTTAAAGTGGAGCAAAAGTATAATTGTTCTTTGTTTTGTTTTATTTTTTGCTTGTTTTGTTTTTTTAAAGTGTTGTTGCAGCATTTCAGTCTTTCAATATGGAGAAACCCATGTGCCGTGACAACACTGTTCTAAAAACAAGCATATATCAAAACTGTTTGATATCAGATATTTAATCAGTTTTGTAGGTGTTTATAATTCAACCAATGCTGCTTTTGTATTTATTTCAAACCGGTTTTGAAAAACCAAAACATGTGCATACATACCCAAAAACAAAATAATTTGCCTACTACTCTTTTCTGTTTGAAGTGAACACTTACTTAATCTTACCCCTTATCTCAATTTAATTAAATATATTACCTACTGACTCAATAATTATTGAAAATTGTTCATAAAAACCCTTATATTGATAATATGCTAAAGAGCCAACAATAAATTATATTTCACAGACAAAATGATTAAAAACTCTCATGAGACAAGAAAATGTACAGATAATACTAATACTAGCAATAACGTTTGCAAATAACAACATGGCACACAGCTAACGTTTGTTTTATTAATTTTTCAACTGGTTGGTGTTTGGGCATTGTTTTAGTTCCTTATTTAATTTATTCTATTGTTTGATCCCAGTTTGAATGTTTCGGTGTTGTTTGTAATTAATTGGGTTTTTTGTTTGATTTTTCATTTTCAGGTTCCTCTGGGTGAAGGCAGGAAGGTTACAGTTGTGTCCGTCCCAAGTGCAAATCGCTGGCAGGATGTTGTGCTGGGAAGGATGAAATGGGCAACCATCACCATTGAAAAGACGGTAAAAAGTGAAACACAAAGAATTATCCAAGAAAGAAAACTTTTTTTTTTAATGAAGCCATAAAAGCTTAATGGATGGACACATTTATAGTATAGTAAAAGTTGGAGTAAATATTAGGCAAAGGCTGGCAAATACATGGTGTTCAAATATCCAAGGACACCACATAAATTTTTGTTTTCCATCTGTTAAGTACTTAATGAAAAGTATTTTGTTTTTTTCAGTACACAGTCAAATTCCTATCCTTCAATCAGTCCTTCCAGCATATATACATTCACATTCAATAACTGAAAATATACATTCGGATGAGGCTCATTTGTCAGATTTTAAGCAGGTAAAGAAACTTTTCACTTAGCCCACATTTCAGTTGGGTTTTTTTGTTGTTCATATAAGTGGAAAAGCATCATAATTAGTAGAAATAAAAGCTTTCAAACAGCTTTCTGCTTTCCGTGTAAATTAGGAGTGAGGAGGGATAAACCAGCTGTAATTTTGGAAAATCTGCAATCCCATGTAACCGATCTTATTCACCAGTTTTGTCTACGTTCGCAAATGTCAGAGAATCAGCCACTGTATACTTTTCCTCTGCGGTTAGACGTCTGCTAACACGTCGAACATGTCAAACACGTCTAACTCGTCGAACATGTCTGCAGCCAACAATAGGCCTACTTCATGACGTTGTCTCTGTAATCATCAACGTTTCAGACAAAAGTAAGAGAATATCAGTCAAAACAGAATCATCAGGTCAGGCTTTATAAAGATCCCTGTAAATCTATGGTGTGTTTCTGTCGGCGACGGAGTTGCTGAAAAAAACAGAGTTGCAGTTTGGATAATATTATAATCTTTTGAATATAACTCTATAGATCAAAATAGTTAGAACTATATATATATAATTATACATGTTTCCCTGACTATGCCACAATGCTAAATAGATGTAAGCAAAACATTTGCTTGCAAGTTTTGCATAAAAGCAAATGTCTTGCATGTCTGACATCACTAAATGCCTTTTGGCATTTTGTGACGTCCGAAGCAGGAAATTCTTGCTTTTTGCACCCAGAGGGAAAATCATCCTATGAGTCACTAACAGCAAAAGTGTCACTCATGTTAGCTTTACTTAAAGCACTTTAATTTGAACAGCATTTCAAATTCATCCAGCCTCTGATGTACTCAAAAAATAAAAAACTACCCAAAAAAACTAAACACAGAAAAATTATTAGATGAAAGGGAGTAAAAATCTTTATACATATAATTTGAATGTAAGGTTTTTAATTCTTTGTTCAGTGGCATAATTTACTTTCCCCTCTGAGGTGCGTTTGTTTTACGTTTCACTGGCTCACCTGCTGCTCATGCTGGGCAGAGTCCCAACCAAACAACTCTTCTAACTGTATAACACTGTCCACCTGGTTTGGTTCCTTTATGAGAGGACAAGATGAAAGTACTAAACCTAAAAAAGGTGTGAAATTTCCCCACCCAAACAAACTAAATCTTCCAAGCTAAATAATTCAGGTGCCTCCCAAACCTCCGGCAGTCATTTCAAATTGATCATGGCGATGTTTGAACTTAAATATTTGAATATTCATATTGCTACTTTACTTTCTAGAAATAAACGCCAGCTTTACAAACATCATTCACCACAATGTGCTCTTGCATGATAATGTTTTATTAATACTTCCATTATGTCTTCTTTCAGATCCGTAATGAGGCGGATTATTTGTTTATGATGGACATAGACAGCGTCTTCTATGCCCGGTTTGGAACCGAGTCCCTCAGTCGTCTTTCAGCTGTACTGCACCGGGGCTACTACAGGGTATCCTCACATAATATTTGCTTTACCGGATGTAAATTAAGATGAGAGATAGTCAGACTGTTTGTGCCATATATGCTGCTTCTACCTGTCATTTCCAGTTCATCACATATTATTCAAAGCCTCTCATGTTGACCTGCTTTGCCCACACAGAAGACGCCAAGGGACAGTTTTCCTTATGAGCGTCGACCTCAGTCCAAAGCCTATATTCCTGCTGGGGAAGGAGACTACTACTACACTGCAGCGGTGTGGTGTGGATACCTGGAGGACATGTACAAGCTAGTCAAGTAATCAAACTACACAATCTCTATGACACAAAACCTTCGCCTGTAAAATCATGTCTATCCAGACAGAGGTGTTGGCTGAGGTTTTTTGCTGCTGAGACCTGAGACTTGACTTAGATCAAGTAAGCTTTATCTTGAGAAATCAGGACTTGAACCAGGATAAGGAGGGTATGTGAACACACTGCAGCTCTGACAGCCAATGCTCAGCCGGTTTATGCTTTATTGTGAAAGACTGATTGAAATATAACCAATTCATGGAGCATTTATGGCTCATAACATCAAGCTCACGCAAATTGTACCTTCATAAAAATGCCTACACATCGAAAAGCTGGATACACTAGATAATTTCAGAAATAAAGTAAAAATAACTAAATCTAACTGCTTCATAATACACATTAAAACATTTGAAAGTGCTTTAACTTCTGCTTTTACTATTTAATTTAAGTCAAGAAGAAAGTTATGTTTTCGACTCGGAAATTAAAGTTCATTAAGTTGATTTAACAACAAGAGATAAATTGTCTAAACATTGTTTTTTTAAGTTTATTAATCTTGAATTGTGAGATTTAGTTTAATGCTACAATTTAAAACAAATAGTTATTTACAATATGCAAGAAAAGAAACTGCCCTCACCTCGTTTGAGCACACATTTCTCTATTATTTTCACTCACCTTATCAAGTTAATGTGTAAATAATTTAAATTCTTGTTTCAAATTGCCTGAGCAAAATTTCTGATCTGATGAAGAATTTTATTAAACATTTCAATGAATTCGACTAAAAACATTTAATGTGGACAAGACATTATCCTCAAGCTTTAAAATAAACATTTGTCTTAATAAAACACAACAGTCAGATCAACGTAACGCACTTCCATCTCAGGTTACCAAAACACGCCGCAGAGCATTCTGGGAAATAGTTCCTGCTCCTCTCTTCTTCTTTTTTTTCAGTTTTTTTAAGGATTGACCTAAAATCTCTAGTTTATTCAGCTGTTAATAAAAAGTTAACACAACTTACTACAGTAAGTTTATCTTCCACAGATCAAAATCTGAAACTCGCTAAAATTATTTGACCTAAACAGGATAAGGTAGTTGACACAACTAAATGCAGCTTAAATGTTTTACAGTGTGTAGGTACTTCTGAAAAATGACAAAACCATTTCTTGTAATCTTCATTCATAAATTTGGTATTCTCTCACATTTATCCTGGAAACATGTTTATATTATAGGCTTGACAAAAAGTAAACTCAAATCTTGTTCATTATGTGAAAACAATTATTATTTATGCCAGAGACACATAATGAACAGTTTTATTAATAACTAGAGTGAGTCGTTTCATTCAGATTAAAAAAGTACCTTTTGAACATATTTTACATGTCTGTATTAAAAATGTCTTTTAAATGTCATGTTTTTTTTTGTTTGCTGGAAGTGTTAAACTTTTTGCAGCAGGATTTGTATTTTGATTTCTGCTCTTTTACCAGGTACTGTTATGAAATGTCAGAGGAGGATGCCAAAAACAAAATCGAAGCTGTTTGGCAGGAGGAGAGTCATCTCAACAGGTACAATGTGACACAACATTAAACCAAAATATCTAAACAGAAAAATATTTACACTGCGTATTTGTCTGTCCTTTTTCATTGCAGGTACCTGCTGACCAACAAACCGACCAAGGTGCTGTCTCCAGAATACCTGTGGTCTGACTATGATGCTTTAACCCCTGACATTAAAGTCAAAAGGATCTCCCAGTTGGTTAAGAACTACGCAGAAGTTCGTCCAAATGGTGGAAACTGATGCTCACACTGCAGAAGCTGGTCTCAGGTTCTTCACATTTTGCCTCTTAGTAGTTCTGGGGTTTGAGTTTTAGGTTTGGGGTTTTGGGTTTACACGACAATACCCGTCTGTCGGGATATTTATTACTGCACACAAATCAAAACTTACCAGCCCGCTTTGATTACCTTTGATGAGTAGATTTTTTTTTCCTAAAATCTACTCATAGCCTGTTGTAAAAGAAAAACAATAACAATTTGTTTAAATTTTTCAAAATATTCAAATTTGAAGCCTTACATTTTGATTGTTTGGCCACAAAGGATCTTGCTGCTAAGTCCAAAAACGGTTTACAATTTATTTGTAAATATATTTTTATTCTTATGTCCTCAGTGTGTAATTTTTTTCTTCCCTGTTCTTGACTTTTAAGTCAAGATGAAACCAAAAAAGGGATGGCGTTAAAATGACTTTAAAAGCCACTGACTGTAATTTGATTCAAAATGTATTTATTATTTTGTTTTTACACAAAAACATAATTTAAATATCCTCTGATTTCACATTTTTATCCCCTTTTCTGCACATTTAAAATATTTACATAATTTCTCTGTAAATCTGAAATTGCTAAAAAAAAAAAAAAAGATATGAAGAAACATTTAATTAATTTGAGGTAAATTAAAAATTATATGAACATGAAATAAGTTGTACAATGTAATTGTTCAGCACCTCAGAGGTTTAAGTTGTATACACAATTAAAAACATCTTTTTTGCAATTAAATATTAAGATTTGTAAGCGTCACTTAAAGTTCACAAACACTTTTTTGGCTCCCCTTGTAAAAATGTGATTCTGAAATCTTCTTTCAGTGAAAATACATCCTGCACTACCTCTTATATTTGTTTTGCATTTCTGTAGTTTGACTGCGTTTTAAAAAAATGCTATAGTATCTTTAAAAGGAATTGTCATTTATAATATATTTTTCAGAAGATCACATCTGTTTATTACATTGCTTACAGAATATTGATGTTATATAAGAACATATTCCCATTGGTGAAAGGGTTTCTTTTGAATGAATTACATTGTAAACCATTTTCAAAGGGAAATTATTCATTTGAAGATGCCTCCTTGAATTAACAATTAGATATTTGTTTTTATTTTATTTTACTCATTGGTGTTACGGATTTTCTCCCAGAAATAAAACATAAATAAATGACAGCTTGTCATCATCTCTACCTGAGCAGCTCAGGTAGAGATGCTCTTTTTAATGCTCTTTTTAATGTCTAATTTAATTATTACAGTGATAAAAAGATTTTAAAGATTAAGTTTTCTTTTTGAGACATTACTTTTTATTCTGGTAAGACTCATTTTCTTTGCTTTGTGGATGTCAGGAATATTTTTATGAAGGTAATGATCAGTTTCAAAAACAGGAAGATCTTCATAATTACAGATCAAACTAAGAGTAGAAAATAAAACATGTGAAACATATTAGGGACATTTGGTGTATTACAGTGAGGAGTGGAGGCCTTATTACAGATGCTATTTTAACTTTAAAATGATATTTCGCAGGATTTTAAATTAATTTGGTGAAGTGAAACATTGTGTGTCAGCCTGTGGTTTTTAGATTCATGGATGTGAGTGCTGATTGTTCTTTATGTGTGTGGAGTTTTTTTCTGAAAGTTGCTCTTTTGCTGTCTTTGCAATGGTTGTTTTGACAATCGGTTTTTAATAGGCAAACTAAAGGCAAAATAAAATTCAATTAATGAAGGATTTCTTGTGTCTGAAGAATGAATCCTATGAATGAATCTGTTGGGCTGAATTATTTTTCCAAAATTCTTCAATTATCCTGTAACTTGTACATTTATAGTGATAAAATAATCCTTAAATTGTCAGTTTATTTTTCTATCTGTGGGTATATTTAATCAACGAAACAATCTCGTACTTTAAGTTCATCATTTTACCATATAAAGTGATAGTAAAAAGAAACTGCAATCTTTTAAAATGTATTAATCTCATTAAAGATCCTGATTTACGTCAAACAAACTAAACATCAAGCCAGTCAGTTAAAACAAACCAAACAATGAGCAAGCCATACTTGTGTTCTTTTTCTCCTTATTTTGCCATAAATGTGAATGTTTAACATGGAAAGTGAGACATGCAGGGATGTCTGCAACATCTGCTAATTGAACAATATTTGGTGAATTAGCTTAGCAGCTATCTTAAATAGTTTCCATATTTGAACCATTTTATTTTACGTTTCTGTAATAAATTACCATAATGTTAGAAACTGTTTCACGTCAAGTATTTTCTGTTAAAACCTTAAACATTCCCATCAAACCCCGTCCTCTGTCCTTCTCCCCATCATTGATTTACAGTTACAGCTGCAATTTTAAAAAATTGCTACAATTTCTGTTTAAACTGTTTAATCTTGTGGTGTCCCGTTTCTTATTTACATGACCAATTTCTTTAAATAAAAAAAGAAATAAAGTTCTTGAAAAGCAGCCATAGAGCGTTTTTCTAGGAAGTTTTTTGTTTTGTGAAAATGATTTGTTTCACATGACCAAACAAAATGTTACAGTCAAAGATGAGTCATTTTCAGATTAAGCAAACTGAACTGGTCTAGTTTTTATGTAAAAAGTTAATTTCTCAACTTGTTAAATCATGACACAACTGTGTTTTAAGCTTATCAGATGGAAATTTGAGTTTTCTAGCCACAAAGTTGTTTCCAGCTGCCGGCACAGGAGAGAAAGACAAATTTAACTTTAAATATTCAAAAACTCCCAGTAAATGCCATGCTGTTTTTATTGCACTTTTCTCTTTAGTCAAGTATTACTTTTATTCTCTTGTAGATTTTCAGTCATGTTTGAGACCATTACCTTTTAGTCTCCAATCTCACAGCTTCTGGAAAACTCAAATAATGGTGTGTATTGTTTACACATAATGTTGCAAATTAATAAACACCAGCAACAATAAAGAATGTATTTTTATTGCACAACTTATCAAAAATCTTAAAAATTGCAAAACAGAGGCATCTTCTGAAACATTAATACCGTTAGTCTTGATTGCAATTTGAACATTATGGTTAAGTTTTTACATGAGATGGAGCTTTTTGGAAAAAATACAGAAGAATGTTTGGAGGACTAAAGCTGAGGCCTTTAAATATGACTATTTTTTTGTAGTCAGTGCCAAACATGTATCCCATAAAATGAATAAATAAATGGAGGTTGGATCTATCAAAACGTCAACATTGGGAGTCGTGGCTAAAGCAGACTATTAAACACCTGGAATGACCGTCATACTGAACATGAATGAAAAGCCTGGTCCATACACTTTTAAACTCAATTTTATGACTTTTGTTTTAAAAAAATAATAATAAAGGGAAACAGAAAATAGACTCTGAAAATACAAAATTTGCAATTCTTCAATTTTATCAGACATATTTTCAGCTGCATCCATCAAAACAAAAATAGGACGCACACACATTTGGCAGCAGAGCATCTTGAAAATGCTGATTTCAGATTGTTTATATTCTTTCAGGTCATGAACACAGAAGAAACCAAACTTAGCCAGTTAGTTTCTCAGGGCATCAGGAGCTTCAGAACTCAGACCTAAACGGGAAGATTGAGTTCAAATCTGTTCCTTCCTCATTCATAGGGCCCAGCCTCCTCCGTGTCACTGTTTTTGTCCCAGTCTTTCATGCTTGCTTGCATCAAGAAGTCCTCTCTCAGGACACTCCACGTAGGCTTCTGCTCAGACACAGGAGGAGGTTTCTCCATCTTCACAGAAACCTTGGTTCCTTCTTCAGTCCGCCTCAGCACGTCGATGAAGTCTTTCTTTGAGATGGAGGATATAATCTTGGCCTTCTTTCTCTCAGACCCACCGACCTCCTTCAGCGCCTCCCCCGTGTTTTTCTGGTGTTTCCTCACGGCGTTGAAGAGCTGCACCACCCCCCTGGTGGCGGTCCTCTGCAGGGCTTTCTCAAGCTCGCGGTCCCGCACGATGTCCGGTTTTTCTCGAAACATCATTTCCCACTTCCACTTCTTGTCTGCTTCTTTCTTTTTCTCCAGCAGCTCCTTTCTCTCCGTCACCGCTTTCTTGTTAGTCAGGATGCTGCTCTGGTTCGGCGCAGTTTTCTTCCCCAGGATCTTTGCCATGGCATCTGCCCACCCGCCAACGGCCTCCGCGTCGTTATCTTCGTCCTTTTCACTCTCCGCTTCGTCGCCATCATGGCTGTCTGTGTGTTCTCCTTCGCCAGAGTCTTCGTTAATACTTTCTCCCTCTGAATCGCTCTGTTTGTTGTCGTCCTCAAGCTGACAAACTGCATCTTCTTGGGTATTCCGAGACACGTTTCCACCACGCACAGCCATCATGTAGTCAGAGACGTGAACCGGAAGAGAATTTAGGTTTTCCTCTTTTGCGCATGCGCTTGTCGGTGTTTCATCTCACTTGGTTCTCGCGTTGATATGTACTTCCTGCGTTTTTGTTTTTGCTTTTGTTTAACCCAAATTGATTAAATCTTACATCTAAAAATTCATTGCATTTTTATATTACATTTATTTATTCAGGTTGTCTCATTCAATATCTCATTTACAAGATGGACCTGTTTGGATAAACACAGCAACAAAAAAATACATTGAGATGTGATTCAATTAAATAAACTCATTAAAAATTAGCTAAAAACAAATAAAACTTTTTTTAACATTTTTGACAATTTAAGCAAATTCTTCATAAATAAAAAAAAGTGATAAAATACTTTTTTCGTAATTATGGAAAAATGGGTCTACACGACGCGTCTTTTTTTGCGGAGGAACCTATTTCGGCGCAACACCCCCGGATATTATCGGTCGTCCTCTGGTTGCACAGCTCTCCAGTCGCCCTTCAGTCCTGCCAGGGAGAGTCCAGTTCTCCGTGAAAAACAAACACTTTTAACTTTAAACCATGGCGGGGACAATTGCACGCAAAGCCATCGACCACCTGAAGAGTAAGGAGTTCAGGGATTATTTGACGAGGTTCGTATTTAAACACACTTCAATATATACTGCTAGTATGAATGCTAACCAATCTGACTGACCGTTGCAACTCTTTGAGAAGTACCGGTTGGTTGAAATGTACTTAAATTAACCCAATCTACTCATTAACAGCACTAGTGATATTTTTACCTATCATATGCTGGTGTTTGCTCCTGTTTTCTTTGCTGTCATCTGCTAAACTCTCAAGGGCGCTTGCTATCCGCAGCTCCTTACTGTTTATGATAGTTTGTAATTCAAATATATGTCACTATGTTAGTAGTAGAATGTCCATTTTTGTAAAACTAGGTACTGATAAATTAGTAGTATGTTGATCTTTTCTGAGTTGCTTCAGAAATATCTTCCAAAATGGCTGAATTGGAAAATGCTGCTTTGCGTCCTAAAAACAATAATTATGTGGGTCGTGCTTGAAGTTCACACCAACCTCTCTTTGACCTGATTTTACATGAGATCTACCTTGGTTACTATATAAAATAACTAATTGTAAGGACATTCAAGCATACACTTCGTTTTACCCTCCACAAACCTGCTTCATTCCTGACATGCAGAGTAAAGGTCAGGTCAGGTATTGTGATGCAAGAAGCTGCGTTTGGTTGCCTCTGAAACACAAAATGTTCATCTTTGTGTCACTTTTTCAAGATGTCTTGAATAAGGATTTACAATAAACCTTTAAATAAGAAAGCAGGTTTGCATCTGACAGCTCTTGAGACTGAAATGCTAATTGATCTGACAGTGAAGTTTTAACTTTCGTTTTTTTCTTTTTCATGTCGGACTTTCAAATGAAAACAAACATATGACAGCACGGTAAGTCCAGGGTTTCTCTGCCTAGTTGTTGTTTTATATAGTTGTATAGGCTGCAGAATATGCCAGTGCTTGCAGTTTTACTCTCCTGTTTAATATAATATATATGCCACTTTTCCAGCATTTCTGGGGCCCCGTGGCAAACTGGGGTCTTCCCATCGCTGCCATCACAGACATGAAAAAGAGCCCTGAAATTATCAGTGGCAGGATGACCTTTGGTAAGACATACAAACACATGGACTGACATTGTTTTCTTGCATCTGATCCTGTTTTGGATTGGGACTTTCATTGGTTTACTTAGGAAAAAAATCTATTTTTAATGTTAAGTTGAGGTGTAGTTTTTGAAAATGTTTTGTTCTTCATTTGAATACAGATTTACTTAATCTGTTGTTATTTTTGGCCTTTTTCTATTGATTTATTAAGATACTCCAGTGTTATTTCACAGTTATATTTACATGTGAGAATTTGGGAAAGGGAGAAGTTTATAAGTTGAAAGTGCGTTAATTTGTGTGTTTTTCTACTCTCAGCTCTGTGCTGTTACTCTCTGCTCTTCATGAGATTCGCCTACAAGGTTCAGCCTCGTAACTGGCTCCTCTTCGCCTGCCATCTGACCAACGAGTCGGCACAGCTGGTCCAGGGAAGTCGCCTCATCAAATATAAGTGAGATGATGTTCTGTCCTCATTTTTTTTTATTGTCACTAATTTGAAATACAAGGTGAGGGAGCAGTTTAATTTAAATCCAGTGTTGTAAGGCTTGTTTTTAGTGATTCTTATGTTTTAGCTGAAGGCCTGAATGTCATGATGTGACTTTGTTTTCTGCTTTTTCTTTATGGCAGTGATTAAAAATCATGTATCTGTTATTTCAGGTTGTTCTTTAGACGTCAAATCTTTTGACCAAACCAGTCACTTCATTATTTTGGTGCTAATTTTGATTATGACAATAAATATTGTAGCCTACCCAATAATTAATAGACCACTGAAAACCTCCCAGTTATTCCATCAAGTATTGATTCCTGATCTCTTCCTGAGTTAAAACATTAATATTTTTATTTCTAAATGAATATTAACTTGTTTTCTTTGCATTATTTGATGTCTGAAAGCTCTGCGTCTTTTTTGTTATTTTGACCATTTCTAATTTTCTGCAAATAAATACTAAATTTTTGCTTTCAATTTCAGATACGTGTTGTCAGTAGTTCGTAGAATAAAAGAACAATGTTCATTTTATTCAAACATTTACCTATAAAGAGTAAAATTAGAGAAACTGATCATTTTTTCAGTGGTCTGCTAATTTTTTCCACAGCTGTCTAACATTTCCACATATTGAAATTTAGTTTACAACTCTCCAGTTTTAAGTGGAATATGTGACAAAAAAGCAATAATAGTGACCTAAAATTGACAGGGATGTATTCTGTAAATATTATGACGTTTGTAAAGAGAAAAGCTGCATTCTGATGTAACTTAATGTGTTTTCTTGCTAACCTCAGCTTGGAGCAGAACTCATCCTAGTGGTGAAGAGAAATCGGTGCAATAATGCAGAATGCTGCTTCAACAAACTACATTTGGACACCAGAACTTCTTCAGCAGATCAGCGAAGCTGTTGCCAGTTTTGTCTTTTTGACTGGATGGTACCATAATTGATCACAATTCAGCTTTCACTTTAATCCACAATGAAATAAAAAAAAAATTAAGCTTTTCTCCAGTAGTTTGGATCAGCTATTTTTACATCTTACCTGGAATAAAACCTAAATGAACTGCCTTGCACATAGATCTATGGCTGCAGTAACTTATAAAATAGACCCTGCCAGTCATTTTTGCTGAAGAAAAAAAATATTGTTACACTGTATCCTTTTAAAACATGGATATTTAAACAGATAGGAGGTCAGATTGAGCAAAAATGCACAGACAGTAATTCTGGAGTGACTTGTATATCGTCCTCCATATTGTCACCGATGCGTAGAACTTACTGAGGTAAAATGAGAAAAAAAATTCATCTGCCATTATGCTCCAAGTTTGGCATCATTTTACCTCCTATGGCAAAAAGAACAAATTAGAAAATATTGAAATGAACAGATGTAAATATAAAAAACATGAGGCTTTGTTTAAAAGCTAGGGCTGTTCAGATTATCCTGTAAAACTGTTCAAAATAAAATATTGTTAAGTGTTGGCCACACATGTTGTCACGTCACAATTTAACTTTCTTATATGATTCTCCTGATTTCTCAGAGTAATTGTTTGGATTATTTAGACATGTTTTGAATAAAGTGGACTGGAAAAACAATGTTTTCAGATGTTGCCTTCTTTTACTGCACACTATGAAGGTAAATGCAGCTTTTAATACTTTGATGTCTCTGTTTTAGAAGTGGTCAGTTAGTTGTGTTGGACAGTTAGAACATTGGCAAACTTCTCCCAAAAGTGTGTCAGTCAAAACATTGGCGAAAATTTACCACTTCTATGTTTTGAGAAAAAAGAAGAAGAAATTCATTTGTATATTCAAATTTTTGGGAAACTTATTGGGGTTTTTTTATGTAATTTGAATTAGCTTGAAAAACATTTTTCTGTAGGTAAATAAATCTTAAATCTTCTAAGTGTCTAAAACATGTTGATTTGTCTTTAAATTTCATTATATAAATGAGCAGAAATATTTTTGAATTTTGTCAGAAGTTGAACAAAAAAAAAAACTTATTTGGTAGTCATGACTATATTATTCCACTAGATGGCAGTAAAATCCCAAGGACGCATTTTACTGCCATCCTGTAGCCGTATGACGGAGAAGAAAACAAACATGGCTTCCATCAACAGCGTTGAGTGGAGATCCATCTGCGACAAATTCACCAACGCCCAACGTCTCACCGAAACAGAGTCCCGAAATGACCCAGAAAACGAGCCGTTTCGCTCCAAATACAAAGCCAGGGAGCTCCTGAGAGAAATCTACTGTTCTCTGAAGAGCTTCGAGGCCGGGGACGGAGAGGAGGACGCCGGCGGGGAGAACTGCGAGCAACGGCCCCCGGACCAACCGGTGGACGGCCAGACAGAGGATGCCTTCAGCCAGGGGCTCAGCGGCGACTCGCCAGCCGGGATGCGGGCGGCGAAGCTCGGGGCTGTAGAATACTACCTGGGCGTCAACCATGTGGACACGGAGGAGCTGTCAGCCGGGCAGGAGCATCTGATGAACTGCATGAAAATGCTGGAGAAATGTAGGGCGTCCTCGGAGAATGTGTCTCTGTTCATCCACGTCAGGGTAAAAACAACGTTTCCTTTTGTTTTCCCGTAAACGTGGCTCCGTACAGCCCATAATACAGCAGCCTTGCTGCGGTTTCGGTCTTTACAATCAGCCCGGTGTGGAGCTCATCAGCTGATGGGGGTCATGAGTTGGTCCTGTGTGCTTTCAGAACCAGCTGGGGATCTTGTGGGCTGGCCGCGATGAGACCGAGGCAGCGCAGGGCTTCCTGGAGTCAGCGGAGTCCATCTACCAGCGCTACATGAAGGAGGTGAGGCTGCTGCACTCACGGTGGGAAAAGATCACTTTGAAAGACGTTTCAGCTCTGGGTTATTCAATACACAGTGTACCAGTGTTGGAGTACTCGACCCCATTAGGTCTCGGTCGTTTGTTTTCTCTGCAAAACGCACTGATTGAACTTTCCCCCCAGTG